CCGTCCTTTGCCAGTGGAGAAGTGCCCCGAGGGGCTGCTCTCCTCTGTTTCTTAGCTACTCAGTAGTCAAACTTTGTTTTAAACTTACAATTGTTCCACAGGTAATACATATCTATGCACTGCTCATTCTACATCCACTTTCTTCTTTTGAAGCATCATATTTTTTCATCCTTCCTGAAATTTCATCCTAGCATAATCATCAAGGTAGGAGTGCACCTCTTTGTTAAAATTTCGAATATCTTTGTTTTTTATTGCGAACCCTCGCCTTTTCCATGTGATGGTTTTCAGAACTTCGAACATATTCAAAAGATTTTTGAAGTTCTCTTGTAGACTCGGTGTTCTATAATATCCATCCCGACTAGAAGCTCAAAGAAATGCCTAGCCTCAAGCTTAGATGGAAAAATAAAAGATCAACTCTATGTTCATTGCTTAAGGCGCACACATTTTCCTTTGGCAAGGGATTTTATTCTTGTTTTGAAGTCTTGCTCAACAAAATGCTTAATCATGTTAAAACTTGAAAATGAAATAATTTATCCAAATTCAGCTTACGAATATAGTTTTTTCCATCACCAACAAAATATTTTTTGTTTTTTGAGTATTTATAATTTTGAGAATTATGTTTTTTTTATTGAAAAATTGAAAAATATGTATGCAATTCCTATATATATAAGTTATGCGTTATTTTATTTATTTGTTTATCTACATTATTTAAAATAATATTAAAACTTCCAAGGCTTGAAACTTAACCTCCATGCTCTCGTCTTAATACTTTAGAATCTTGCTTCCACTAGACAATACTTGCAGTTATTTTTCCTTCTAGTATAAATTATAGGATTATTCTATTTGTACTAAATCATATACAAAATGGGTTACAAAATCAACAAGTGGCGCGGCCGCCGATTGGAGGCGTAGTTGGGGGCCAACTGCGCCTCCAATCGGCGGCCGCCATTTGTTAATTTTGTATCACATTTTGTACTCATAGCATGATCCTACACTATAACATCCGAATTTTGAATGACCCATAAAAAATGCCTGTAATAATTATCCAAAACATGTTCCCAGAGAACACGTGTATATTACTTTTCCCTGTATTTTTCTTATGGGGGAGGATGTAACAAATAAAAATAATACAAGCGTGGTAATCCACAAACAAAACGTTTCCTTTTTCTATGACTGCATTGCCTCGTCTACCTTCGGAGGCAAAAACCTGGACGCTGTAATGCAAGTGATATTCCACAAAATTATTGGACACATCAGCTTCGCCGACTAGTTCCGCCTTCCCTGCTGTCCATGTATGTTCACCAATGTGTTTTAGTACCCATAGATGATGATTTCTCGTATCTGTACAAACCATACGGATATTTTGGTTAATGCGCATGGCAATTATATAAACGGTTGTGCTACATGTACACAATAGGTTCACATAATAGTTTAATACACATGATGTGATGAGGTATGATTAGGTCAAAGTTTCTTCAACCAAAAAAATAAAATAAAACTTCTTCACTCTTTTTTTGACACCTCATTTGTATGTAAATCATTATGTAATTGCTTATGTACAAGTAGTATTATTCTTATACGAAAAGGAGTGGGCATGGCAAACAAAGGATCGAGAAAAATTAAACATGGAGTGGGAGAGGGGGGTGGTTATTATCTTCTTTGATATTATCTTAAGAGTTCAAATGAGCCCTTACTCCATATGAAGGTCTCTATAATCTACAGATTAAATTCATACCATTCCGTAATTCTTCGTCAAGGGTATAATTTAGTTGTTCTTTGATAGGTAGAATGTTTCTGAAATCGATCTTAGGTTAATAGATCGTTTTTCTGGTAAATCAAATTATGTTAACATTAGTCTAATAGTCAATCTAATTTGCTCCTATTGGAGATGATGAACCTAAGAATAAAAAAATTTTAAAAAAAATAAAAATAAAAAAATTTGGAATTCATACTAATTCATTCTTTAAGAAATTAAGCCCTTGTTCGAGCCCCATTTAAAAAAAAACAGTTTTTTCAAAACTCATTTTAAATCATGTTCTCCAATAAAATAATTTTACAAGTAAATCGAAAAAAAAAAATCTTATTTTTTAACCACATATTCTCCAAAAAGCACTATTCCAAAATATATTCTTTCCCCAAAATGGGGCTCGAACAATGGCTAATATCAAAAATTCATGTTTTCAAAACTCATTTTCAACCACATTTTCCAATAAAATAATTTTAAATGTACATCGAAAAAATTCTTAAGTTTTAATAACATGTTCTCCAAAATGCATTGTTTTCTCCAAAATGGGGTTCAAACAAGGGCTTTATTAATGGTTGCAAAAGTTTCTAGTGAGATGCAAACCCCTATGGTGCAATGCCGCGCAATCAAAATATATATTCCTTCACAAGATTTCTTTGATCTCCAAACTTTACCATTATTTCCGTGTAAAAATAAACCCCTGAAGTTGCCCTATTATCAACAACATAACTCTTGGCCATAAGCTGGTTGTCCATAAGCAGTGTGTATCATGTGCAATTCATTAGTTAATGGCATAAATAACTTACCATTAATGAGGGATTTGCAGAAGCATGAATGAGATGCAATATAAACATCCACAGATAGCAGCTCCCGCAACAAAATTGTAAAATAGCTTCTTATTATCTCTTGTGGGTATGAAAGCTGACTTCAATGTGTTAGTCAGCTCAAAAAGCCGATATGATACCTATACCAGTAAACAAAAATGCAAACGAAAAGTTCAAAGGAAAAAGGAAAAAATTATCAGTTAAATATAATCCAAAGATAAGTAATGATTCACTCACCAAGATGTAAATGGCAGTCGTGAGCATGAAATTAAGCAAAGGATAGTTTGGGATCAAACAGAGTAGCCATTTAGGCTGTCCATTAGGCACGTTTGACCTGCACGAGTGTAAATAAAATCTGATGACACCTCCATTAATTTGGCATCTATTGAATTTTCATGTTGGTTAAGCCATTGCACAGGAACCCTTAAAATTCAAGATTTTGCAACTCGTGTTCTTTTCCAAAAAGTTCATTTGGTTAAATTTAAGCCTCTACAAGCGTAAAATGGCAGGAAAATAGATTTAAGATTAAAAAAAAATGGCAATATTTTGTCGCATCTACAATGTGGTGGGGTACATGCTCGTATAAAAAAGGTTCTTTCATGCACAAATTGAAAGAAGTGAATAAAATAGACATTTAAAAGTAAATAACCATATTCCGTTTGTCAAATATATAAATCATTTATAAATGGTCAAACATTGTTTTCAACCACATATTCTAGTGGATCCACAAGTACAATTCACTTATCAACATTCGTTTCTATCTATTTATAAATTCTTCTCAATTGAGGCTATATGTATACATGGTTCAATTGCAAGTATTCATTAAAAATAATGAATGTCCTCGATGAATACAAGAGATATAGACTAAATCATTTCAATAAATAAAATATAAAACCAAACAACTGAAATAGGAAAAATAAAGTGCACTCACCTTAGCCAGATGTGAAACTGGGAAATATAGGTTTCCAAAGTAACTTTGCCAAGCCACCTGATAGCAAGGGTGAGCTTGAACAATCAAACGAATATGAATGCAATATTTCATGCCACTAGTGCAATTGAAAAGGTTATGCAGTTAATGACTAAAAATAAAAACGATATAGAACTTACGCAAAAAGGGTCAATGAAAAATTCCGAATCTGCTGACAAGAATTCCGCAAACAAATATAAACACTGGGGAAAAGAGAAGCAAACTATGAAGGAGATCTTTAAGAAAACCTTTCAGGGTAAATCTTGTTACGCATGAATCAGTTAAAGCTTTATAATAGAAATTGTTCCCACCCAAAAAGGACATAGGTGATGATATCATAAAATAAGAAAGAAGCGTTAGGACAGGTAAATTCAAAACTTCAGCACATACGTTATGGGAATCCATGACGTGTATGGATGGAGCTTGTTATATGTAACCTTGTCCAACTTGTAGATGAATTCATACCACAAATAGCCAACCTACGGCAGATAATTAGCAATTAATCAGATAACAAAATTTACTAAACAATCAGATAAATCATCTAAAATACAAACAGATGTCATGGTCCCTTTATTTTGAATTCAATTATGTGACCTACAATTGAAGAAACTATGACAACCGATGTTTTGATTGACCGTCTCCGCTTTGTGTCACACTCCTCCAGTTTCTCCATCAACTTCTCAACCTGCAATGAAATAATCACTAGACTTCAAAAATTCATCAAGGGAGAAACACTGTGAAAGTACAATGTTTTAAGATAGTACATTCGGATGAAAATAGGCGTAGATCATTCCAATTATCCAAATATAACGATCAAGCCCGGATCTAAAATGCCACTCATGCAGTCGAGGAAGATTCGGTTTTGCAGGATCGCTATATCCTGTCATTCAGATAAACAATTACCAGGCATTTAAGGCCTCAAAACAAAACAGTGGAATTCTAAACCTGAATTTCAGAATCTTTCAGCAAGGTCTGATTTTTCGGGACAAAACAAAACAATAGAAATCAATTGGCTGAATTATGGTAACAAGTTCATTGATGATTACGTACCTAACAGATAAGTGAAGGGACTCCAAACCAGGTCAAAAACTCCAGGAATTTCCCAAACCAAGATAACCACAAGAAAGCACATCAAAATTTTAAGAACCATTACTGATCTTATCTCATTATAGTTGTGGCCAATACCAAGGGCACCATACACCATAAGAGTGAAGAGTGTGTGCATTGGGCAGATGTAGTATAGCGTATAATCATTGTTAAGAACAATACAACAAAATGCCACAAAAAAGTTTAGTCTCCACATCATCTGCATAACGAAGATAAACTAATTAGAACTCTCATAGAAACTAAAAATTCTGAAAAGCAGAGCGCCAAGTTCAGTTTTGGGGTACAGACAGAAAAAACAAAAAAATGAAGCAATTTTTCACCTGGGCAAACCGTGCAACACTAAAATCTTTTCTAATATAATAGTAGGAGAAATTTCCAAAGCCCGTCATCCAGACATAAGCAGCAATGAAAACTCGAATCGCATTGTATATCTCCGATGCAGCAAAATAATGGTACATCAAAAAAAGAACCTACATAAAACATAAGAAAAAGGGATGTGTTGTCATAAAGTTCGTGTGTAGAGAGAGAGTATACTAAAGACATTTGGTGGCTGCTTAGAGGAAGCTAAATAGTAGAAAAGTATAGGAAAAATTCCTAACTTCACAAAAAACAAAATATGGGGAGGGAGGATATAAAAGAATCGGTTCCTAATTATTTAAAAATCATTAACATGTTCCGATGAATAGTTTGTGACAAAAACACTCGCCTGCATCCATCCTTTCCACTCCTCAGTCTGATGGCGATTAAGATAAAGTATAGATTTCCCAGAAAGTGCTGACTTGTCATTATGTTTCTTCAGCGAAGTCATTGCTGAAGTTATGATAAGAAGAATGTAGAGAAAAAGGAAAAGATCGCGATTGTAGCTCTGTTCAGAGGGGAAAAAGGCCCGAGAAAAATTAATTAGTAAATATAGCAATAAAGAAAATTAATGTAATGCTGATCATCAAATTCTATATGAAATGGAAATGCAAAATACTGGTAAATGAAGAAGATAAAGCTAAAATGTGTTTCACAGGAAATACTCTGTGCAGAGTAGGAAAAAATCTGATTTTTGAAAGAAGTCAGAAACGTGAAGGGCACCTTGGTGGAATCTGGAAACAAGTTTGTGCGGTCACATATGTAAAAATAGAACAAAAGCCCACCAAACTCAGACCTGCATTAAATTGTCATCCATTTAATGGAAAAATGAAATAGAACCTTCATGTAATGCAATCAAAATAATCAAACAACTCACATTGCTCTTAAAATTTGTCGGTTTTCAAGCAAGAATGAGTCATCCATAGTCACAAACCTAGAAAATCAAGAAGAATAAAGTTAAGCAAGACAAAATGAACATGATCAAAAGGGAAACCCACACAGATACTGAATTTTCAAATCAGATATACCTAATCAAGTTTGTTTTAATTGATGGAGTCGACAACTTTGTGGAGGCTGATTTTGTAAGACCTCCTTCCAACAACACAGCCTGGTCTTCTTCCTTTATTGTGCCATTTTCCATTTCAACCAGATTACTGTCTGAATGACTGCTGCCCAAACATGTAAGCCACAGAGCATAAGAAGATGTTTCATAAACACTATTTTCTCTAATGATTTCATAGAACGTTAAGTGCTTCTTGAACGGACAATTGTTGTTCTTCTTCAAAGCACATAGGTAGGTAAATCAAAATAATATTCTATAACTAAAGAAGATGATGGACAGAAATGGGAGACATGCTTACACTTTAGATGGGGATGATGACTTCTTATACTCCAAGCACTCAGAGTATATCCACGCAATAAAAACTGGGATGATTCCAAGCAAAAATGAAACCTGGAACATCATAATAAAGGGTTTCGCTTTATATTAAGTTCAAGAATAGTTTTCAGGTTAACAAAATGTAGAAGATACCACAGAAAAGAGATTGCAACTGGACTAAACAAAATGTCATACATGAGCATATTATTCCGAGGAAACTGAAAGCAAAGTCTAAACCGAACTACCCTTACCACTTTCTCTCTGGTTAAAATGAATATTTTTTCAATCTTATAAATATTAAGATATCCACAACAGGCTATTAAAGCAAAATACTGACCATCAGAGTGGAAGTCACTCTGATGAAATTTAATTTCTTGAGTCATCACTATAAATCTTGAAGTATAGAATACATTTTCAAACTGAAATTAATACTTCAATTCCAGTTTATTCTCCACGAAATTTGACTCAATAGACTAATCCAATCATCACTGCTCAACGGAAAAACCTTCATTCCAACAAGCTATCATAATAAACATAAGAGATTTTTAACCCCAAGGCGTAGCATTTTCTTCTCAGCCCTAAATTGCACACCGAATTTACTTGAAAAAATCAACTACAGCCACCATATTAATCCAATTTTGCATTTCAGAGATCCGATGAACTAAGAATAAGATCACATTCATTTCCATTGCAAGAAAAAATAACAAAATACTTGTACAAGTCGAAATCGTACCTGTCCCGGTGTCACGGGTCCAGAAACCACCGCCATTACCCCGTGGAAATCGAAAGAACCAAAATTCTAACTATCCAAAACGTAAATCTCAAATGTGGTGTACAATTAAGCAAATAATCACCGCCAAAACGTAAATATACACTTGTATATCCTGTATTTATACAGCGAGTACAGCAAGGAAATATAAAAAGAAAGGATTAGCCCTAAAAGGGAAATCTAAATCAGAGATCTGACGCAACAAACAAACAATTGAGGAAGAAGAATAGGAAAGAGAGAGTAGAATGGCGTCGGTGAGTCGATGTAACGTCGTCGTTTCTTCGGTGGAGATGTCACTCTCTTCTCTCAAAAACCAAACGGTCAGCGGTAGTTGCTGTATTATTTTCATTTACAGTGATTTTTATTATTTTTCTGGTATTTTTATTGTGCTGAAAAAATAAATTAAATTCAGTTTAAATTAATTATTTATCAAACATGATTTTGGGTAAATTCCAGCTGGGTTGGGTTTCCCAACCTTTTATTTGTAATAACATTGAAGTCCTCGAAACGTGAAAAGTGTGCGTGCATTGTCTTCATATCTCAGTGGTCGAGTTTTAGACTTGTTTCTCAATGGTCACCAATTCGAGTCCCTTAAGGGCACTAAGGTGAGTATCTCGACTGTAAATTTTAGGGTCTCATGGGATTAGTCGAGATGCATTTAAGTTGATCCGAACACTCATAGTTATTAAAATATAATAAAATAAAATAATTTCTTACTTGTAAAATTAGCATGCAACCCAAACGTGATTTAGACCTTCTTCGAAGACAAATACTAAAATAAAAATCAGACATATTTTATTTTTGCTTTTACTTTTTTAGAAGAACTTTTCGATAAAACTACATGAAATTTTTGAATCTTAAAAATTCCTTTTGATTTCTAAAAAGTTATGCCAAATAGACACTTATTTTTTTAATAGATAATTTTTAAACAAGGTCAAAGATGTTCATGTATCAAAGATGGGAAATGAATCTAATAATTATGAATTGCAACGATCATTATTCTTTCCTTGAATTTTAAGAAATTATGCTTTGATCGAACATGCGCATATAAGATATTACAAAGATGGGAAACGAATCTAATAATTATGGATTTTACCGATCATGATTCTTTCTTCGAATTCTAAGAAATTATGACTCGTGTGTTTATAAGTATTTTTTATCATGATTGGAAATAAAAATAACTTTGAGTAGAATCTTATGTTACTCGTGACTTTTAAAACTTTTATTGTATGAAATTTAAATTACTTTTTTAACCTAATATTAGATTTGTACCTTTGTTTTTGTGATTACAAAAGCAATTATTTATTAGGTTGCTAGGAATTGAGTACAAATAAAGCAAAATTCTTTATTAGGCAGACAAACCAGAAACGGCATATGGGATCAACATTAATGCTCTCTACCAACAACTTATGGATAAGGCTTGTAATAAAGTTTTGCCAATATTAGAAGATCCCATGATATTTTACTTTGTAATTGAGCCCCTATTTGATGATCATTAAAAAATGTATTTTGGAAAAAATAAATTTTAGAATGACAATTTTTTGAATAATATGTGATAATAATAAAAAAAATAGGGAATAATTTTAGGTCTACGTGCAAAATATTTTAGGAAAAATTGCAGCAGCGGTCCTTAACCTTTTTATTTTTTACAGACTTTACTCTAACCTTTATTTTATATCAACGAAAGCCCCTAACCTTTCATAATATGCATCTGAGATCCATTTAGACGGAAATCGTCCAAAACACCGTCAGTAGATCGGGAAAATATCTTGAACTATTTGCTACCGCGACGATTTTATTGAATGTTGATATATTTTTGGACGATGTTTTGGACGGTTTTATTAGATGTTGATTCCTTGATTTTCCTGGTCAACTGATGGTATTTTGAATGGTTTCCGTCCAGATGGACCTCAGGTGCATATTAATGAAAGGTTAGGAATCTCCACTCGTACAAAATGACGGTTATGATAAAGTCTGCAAAAATGAAAAGGTTGAGGACTGCTACTACAATTTTCCCTATGTTTTATTGTAAAAATGCATGATTGAAAATAAGTTTAGAATAAAAGAATGTTTTGAGAATGATAAACAAACCGAACTAAATAATTACTAGTTGCACAACAATTTTATATTTAGATCCCGTTTAGTATTCATTTTCGTAAAAATAAGAATGAAAAATATAGCCGTTATCTATTCCACACAAGATATAAAAATTCAAATTTGGTGGCTTAATGTGATGGATAACGGTCATATTTTTCATTTTAATGGGGAAAGAATGAAAAACAAACGTGGCCTTAATATGCGTTACGGGTCGAATATCAAAATATCAAGTTTGAGTTTAAAAATCTAAGTCAGCTCAATTTTGAAAATTAATAAATATTAAAATACTACTATTCACTAATATTTATGGAAATAAATTATATTAATTTATTTTAATTAACTAAACAATTAGTTAAAAACCATAATGAAAATTTTATTTACAAAACATTTCAACGTTGCAATATGGATGCAAACGACGCCGGTCATTCATCTCCTTCCTTCACATTTTTGCTGTTATTTAGTCATTTTTTTAACCCTTTTAAATTATTTTTCTTCCTATATTCAGTTTTTAATCAATTCTACAAATTTAATTATTTTTCCTTTATGCTATTTTATATTTTGCCAATTTTATGCTAAAATTCAATTCGCTAGTTTTAAAATTTTCCATTATTGCCTTTATTGAACATTTACCATGAAGAACATGAGTTATTTTATAAAAATATATGGATCATTTTTTGTTCGGCAGAAATTGAAAAAAATTAAATAATAATATATTCATTAATTGTTTAAATACGAAATCGGTAATTTATTAAAAGAAATAAAATAAATACAATAAGATTTAACTAAGATAAGAAAATAAAAACAACAACAACAACAACGATAATAATCACTAATGATTAGAATCATCGCTGTCATTATCAATTACAAAGTGTAAATATACCCTAAATCCAAGGTAATTTCCCTCTTTGTGTCAAGGTAAAACCTTTGATTTTAGTATTAATTTTATTTGCATTTTCTTAATATGCTTGTTTTGCAGCTAGTCGTTTAATTTTAGTTCACATTATTTTTAAAGTGTGGCGAATTATTTCATTTGAATATTTTCTAATTGGTTATATTAATTATTCAAACTTTACAAACTTATATTTTATGTACTACTTTTGTTGAATGATATGAAGGACACATTTTATTAAAAAAATAAATAAATAGTTATAAATACTAAATATCTCTATTTAAGAACAATACATCACATCCTACATATTGAATCAACATTTTATATTTTTATATACATAATTATTTTTAAAAATTTCATCCAAAAAAGAAATTATTTTGCACATTCTTTTCGATTTCGATTCAAATTGCATTGTCGTGCTCGTTCCTTGGTTGGAAAGGGTAGAGTTTCGTTTTTTGGGTGGAGGCGGAAGACTTTCCGTGTAAGAGTTACATAAAAAAATTGCTTCGTCTTTCATGTATCTTTCTACAAATTTATTTTGTAGAGTCTCTTGCTTACATTACTAACTTGTGTTTCCATTCGCAAGTTTAAAATAAAATTACGTATTTTTATTAGTAATATTTAAATTTGTCTTCTCTTTTACTAAGCTTCTTAGCATAAGAGCATGTTTGGTAAAGATTTTAATCCAATTAGCATCAATTTTTTTATCGTTATTTTATTATTATAGCCATCATTTTTGAATTCTTCTCTCATAGGTAGAATCCACTTTTATCTCTAACAGTCAAAAAACCAATTAACAAAATCCCTACCTAACAAGTACTAACTGAGATGAACAATTGTCAAAAATGTCACACATATATTATTCTTATTTAAGAATGCATGATGATATAAAGCTAATGACAAAATTTGAAATAATAAGAACTAACATTAACCTTCAAAATAATAAATAATATCAAAATTTATTTTGCATACTTTAACAAAATTAAAAAAATACAAGTATTGAAAAGCACGGAAAAATTTTAATTTTACGTGCAAAATTATTTTAAATAGTGAATGTATAATTGAAAATGAATTTAAGGAAAAATGACATTTAGAAAATTGGGATTCAACAAGGGTAAATTAAAATAATATTAAAAATATAAAAATATCTTTTTTATGTGTGAGCAGAAGCAAAGTTTAAGACTTGACCTTGTGATTTTGTCATGTCCCTATCGATGGAGTACGTATTTTGAAAATTTTCCAATAAATTGTGCTCGACCATGTAGGTTCAGACTTTACATATTGCTTTGGTTTAGTTGATGGCATCACTTCAGCTCAACTCTTTGATAGTCTCGATTAGGCCAGTTGAGCAAGTGATGTAAAGTGTAGACATTTCGATGACTTTCAGTTGTTTCATAATTGTCTGTTAGTGATCAATAATAAGAGTCTCGTATGATGAAACGAACACCATTCATATATTTCAATCAAAATAATTAAATAACTACAACTAATTAATGCTAATTCTTTAATATTTGCCAATATGTACCGTGTACGTTAGCTGTCATGTAGTGACCGTTAATTTGTATGGATCTTTATAATTTACAATAATTTGCCTTCAAGTTGTTGGTTGACTACGTAGAACATCATCAGTATCTGTAGAATTTTAACAAGGTTCCAATTCTAGACAATTTCGTTGACTCTAACAGCTGGTCAACCCAGGTACTCCGGCGTAGGAGACAAACCAGTCCATGGATTATTTCCACGAATAAAACCAAATGATATGCATCGATGACTACGCACTCACATTGACACATGGGTCCCACGCGAATAAAATAACGCCCAACCCTCATGTGTGTGTATGCGGTCATCCCCGATGTCAAATCCAATATTCGTGTAACATGGTTGTATTTCCAAAGTGGGTCTATACTTGAAAACTTAAAAAATAGTGTTATTTAACGTTAATCAGACTGATGCTTGATATCGATAGTAATGAATAAGATTACTCAAAACTTAAATGCAATTTCAAAATCCAAACTCGTCGTAAATTCTTAAAAACATTTTCATAGCTCCAAAAAAAAACTTATTTCTTTTGTTTTCTTATGAATTTAATAAATTTTACGAAAACTCTTATGCAACTTTTGACCAAAATATTCGTAATTGTGAAATTCAACTAAAAATAATAATGTATTGCAGTCTTTTCGAAAATAACATTTTCACGTATTGTATTGTGTTGTGTCGTGTTTCTAACCGCATGCAAAACATGCAGGCATGTGCTTCACGTATTTATAGATCTTTGAACAATTCAACGTAAAAAAAAGCTGACTTTGCTTCCTTTCTATCATGAGTACTTTTCTTTTGACTAATTTTCATCAATTTTATCGACGGCTAAGAAAATTTCATGCTCCATACTGCTCAAAAAATCATTTTCTCTTGATTAAAAGTTGTATTGTCATGTGAAATTAATTACTTATAAGTCTGCGCATCTCATCTAAATGTTTGAATCGTCAAGCAGTTCATACTTCTTAGTGCTTGTTTTATAAATTTCTATCAATTTTCAAGCAGTCGGAACTTCAATTTTAATCACATATTTTATAGAATTCACAATTTTTCAACTAAAATATTTCATCGAATTTTATCAAAATCTTTAAAACTTTTATTAAAAACTTTGTCGCAAAAACCCTGATGTTTAACCATACATTATAATTAGGGTTCATTCGACCTAGCTCAAAATCAGACTAAAGAAACTATGAAAATAAAAGCATAAATTAATAGTACTACAACATAAATGTTACAGGAGAGTTGAAGAATGAGATACTGCTATATAGCTATATATCTCACAAAAAGAAAGCAAATCAGCACCCATTCAGTAACAATATAAAGACTAAAACAAAGAACAAAAGACATATACGCTTAAATACCTACGAAATGTGTGGATAATTCTTCGAGACCGCGTTAGAATCCTGAAATTTTATCTCAAGGTTCCTGTTTAGGGAAAAAAGAGGGAATCATATCTTGCAAAAGCCCATATTCAGGAAATTGAGTTTGAGGCTGCTCCAGTGTAGTTAAATTTTGCTGACCATAGACATTATTTACACTGCCATAATTGTAGAGATGATCGTTGGTCATTTGATGAAGCTGTAACAAGTTTGCAGGAAAACTTGTCCCTTGAAGTGGCATTGGTGGTGTTAGCATAGAAGAAGGAAACATTCCTGCAACGTTTCCTCTGAGAGTTGTTGGTACGAGGTGGTTGTGTTGACCTTCGTATGTAGTGATAACGATTGAAGGATCTTGATATGATCTCTCTACGCGCTTCTTCACCAGGCATTTTTGAGTTGTGCATCTATAGTAGCTTCTGCATTAATGGAGTTAAAAAGTTTGAACCTCACATTTATTTTATCATATGAAAGATCCAAATGCAGGGCATATTTCGGGGAGTATGTTATTCGTAGAAACTTGTTACTTGAGCCGTCATATAGAACGACTACTGCAGTATTCTGGGTAATTCACTTGTAACTTTCAAGTAAGAGGTGATATTACATGCATTCTTTTGAAGGGCTTCCAACACATAATTTGTAAATGTGAATATTGTGGAGAACCCTTTAAGACTAAATTCAAAAACCTCCTTTCCAAATTCGTTCAACTCGAATTTTGAAACACTGCAAGAGTAAGAAAATATTTATAGCCTTGTCATGTTACGCGCAAGTGACTTCGAATATTTTTCTTAAGTTGCACTCATGTACGGGATTCAAGATTTGATAAATATTTAATTAGTGAGAATTAGTATGTGTCGAAATTTGACTATTACTTAGCATAATTTAGGATCAAATTAAAGAGTTTTCAATTTAATATGGATTAATGGAATCACACCTTGGATAAGGACTGTTCTTCACAGCTTTTTGCCCATATTTTCTCCATCTATATCCATCTTCTAATTGATCAACCTCACTCTTTGTCTTGAAAGCAAATCGAGGCTCCCGTTGTTTCTTCTTCTCTCCTTTCTTCTTTGCTTTAGCCCTAAATTTAACATCATCAAGTTGAGTTCCATGAGAAATAAACAACAAACTTCATAATTTTTTCATTTTTTAAATTGAATTAAATCAACCCAAGTGAGTTTGGACGAGGTTTTTAGGCCTTCACCTCGATCCTATAGGGATTAAAAAGAGAAAAATAAAATAAAATCTTGTTACTAAACTTACTCTTTCTTAGAGCTGTTTTCTCCTTCGACACTCTCCTTCTCTTTCTTGCTCTTGTTTGAATCTTCATCACCAGCCGCCTCGGTTGAGGATGACGAGATCGAAGAATTAGGTGTAGCCGGAGTTTCACTACCACCCACAAGATCTCCACCTCCGCCTCCACCATCCACCCCTGCTGGTACCTCAGAGGTTGACGGGGTCAAACCAAAGGCTCTTGTAAGTGTGTCATGGCTATTGGATCCATGGAAAAACTCCCCAAAGCTCATATATGAAGAAGGATCAAACATTTGCAGATTCTGAGTATATGTAGAAGAATTCTCACCGTTCCGATCATCGTCGTGAAATGGTTGGTGGTAGTAAAGATCTTTGAATTCTTCAGACATAATTAAAGAAGAAAGAGTAGGAATAAGAATAAAAAGTTTGATTGACACAAAGAGATTTGTTTGTTGAGGTATCTTTATTTAAGCTTTTGACAAGAAGCTGGTGATTTTATTTATATATTTATTTTCTTGGAGGGAGACTGCGAACTACAAAGGGAGAAATTATCAACTTTGAAATGCAACTACCGACCCCACTTTGTAAAGAAGGTTTGACAATGCTAAGTTCATCAATCGGGACTGGTGTCATTGGTCATAGTTAAACCTTTTTTAAACAACCTCTTAGTACTAATTATATGCTCTTAACAATTAAGTATTACATGTAGTTAGCATATATTTACTCCTAATTTATGAAAGTTTTATCAACTTTTCAACTCTTTAGATTTTAATTTTATAAAACCAACAACTTTTATTAATTTTTCCAATGTCAATTTGTGATGTATACCCTTACTATTAATACACTTTCCGAGTTTATGTAATTGTCTAGAAATACTTCAGTGGGGTAGTCGTACGTTTACATGTAATAGGATCGTTCACCCAAATCATGACATACCAAGTCTCGAATCATGAAAAAAACAATACGCGTAGGATTTCTAATGGGTCCGCTCACCCATCATGTTATTCTCTCTTACACACTGATGTTCGAGGTATTGTGAGTTTAGTGATTCAAGGTCCTATATGTCATGAATTGAGTGGACGGTCTTTATCATGTGTTAGTATATGGCCATCTTGATTGAAGTTTTTCTTGTGATAGTCCTTCTCGCACCATGAGTACTCAACCTCGGAATGCATAGCTGATGCATTCCACTTGTTGATAGGAGCTATGCATTCCACTTGTTGATAGGATTCTATTGTTGGTCTATGACTCCTCTAAATATTTAATTCAATCGCCCTCAAATTCATTTTTGACCTGCATATTTTATTCCAATAAAATAATTTGCACTTAAATTAAAAAAAAAATTCTTACATTTTAATCACACATTCTAAAAAAAAATACTATTATAAAATTTATACTCCAAAAAATGGGACCAATCAGAGTCCTGATGGTTTATTCTAAACCAAAATATATCCTTGAGAAATTGATAAATAACATATATGTCACTTAAGTCGTGGTCTTATAGCTATTTGATAAGGTGTATATTTTTCCAAGAATATGTTGTTTGTACATAATGTAGTATCTATAGGTATTCATTCCCCTCATAAGAAGAGGGACCCACTTCGAATAAATTATATTTTATTCGAAGTGGATCTCCCTCCATGTAAGGAGGTGAACACCGTTATGAATATCTTGATATAAGCGTAGCATTACCCATTTTTTCAATACTAAAAAATGATAAATAAGCTAAAATCTTTTCATACTGTTGAGTCAGAGTCAATAATCAATACCACATCTGTTTATACTACAAATTATCATTAAATTATTGGAAGTACCATCCTACGAAGATGGCGTGATTAAGTTAAAGATGAAACCTTAATTAGGTTTAGGAATTAAAATGGTTGCTTGTTGGGATTGGCAATTGGTCAACTATTTACGTATGATGTTAACAGTCGAATCACGAGGTCTTTATTTGGACGGTCAATCTTTATAACTCGGCTAATCAGGATGGACTTGGCTCAATACGTGTCCCGGACTCGCACCGGCATTTGACCGTAGCGGACACATGATTTGGCACGTGGGAGATGCTGTCTGGTTCGCAATCTGCCTGTTAGGCGCTAAACTCATTACTCTTATCTCCGCCAAATGCAAATTTTCACCTAACAAAGTTCTTTTGTTTTGCTACGAAATTCGCTTGAAGAAAAATAAATAATGAAAATAAAGTGAAGGATATTAAGCCCATTTTAATGAAATTTTTGAAAAATATATTTTAAAATAGTAACTTTCTTTAAAATATGTGGTTAAAAAATAAGGAAAAATTTTAATTTTATGTGTAATATTATTATTTTGAAAAACGTGTGATTGAAAATGAAGAAAAAGAAAAATTCATTCAATTAAAATGGAGCCCAAACAAGGGCTAAGTCCATATTTGTATAAAGATTAGGGGCCCATTTGATAGGAATTTTGAGAATTGATTTTTTGACCGTTAGAAGAAAAGTGGGGTCCACATGTGAGAGAAGAAATCAAAAATTACGGCTTGAATAGTAAAATAACGGTCAAAAAAATCAATTTTTTGGGGCAAAAAATCCCTACCAAATGGGGCCTAGATTTCGACAAAAGTAAATGAAATGTGTGTTTAAAAATTATGAATGTCAGGAAGCATGTGATTAAAATTAATTGTTGACTTTAATTTTTAATATTTACTAAACAGGGACTAAGACTCGATATTGAGTCGAGAAAAAGAGTAAAAAAGTCAATGAGAAATTAAAAAAAATCAATTTTGAGCGAACATATCAATTCTTTAGTTAAGGATTTTTTTACTGTTTTATTTTTTCAAATTTTGATTTTAGCCATATAACTGATCCGTTTCTTTCTTTCTTTTTTAATTGAGTAGGCCAGTCAATTCCTATAATATTGGTAATATTTTCAATAAAATAATATATTTCCCACTAGAAAACACGATAAGAAAAGCTACTCCGTTTGGCCCCCATTATTTAAATTTATAATGGGGGAATAATATATATATATTTTTTTTTTTAAGATTGTGTAGTTGAAAAGTTTTCGATTTGAGTATAATATTATTTTATTAAAAATTGTGTGGTTGAGAGTAAGAGAGAGAGAGAAAATTAAATTAAATTGAAGAATTTTAAAGGGGCCAAACAGGGTAAAATAACAATTATTTAGACTTTAAACTTTAATTATACGATGCTTCGAACGATAAAAGAATAACTCTAACACGAACATATTTACAAAAATGTTGAAAATTACATTTAAAATATATAATTGGTGTCATTCGATAGAGAAATAAAGGACATGTTATTCTGTTAGAGTATATAAGTCAACATTATGAACAAAATCTTAACTCTTTGAATATTCTCTAATAATATACAAAGATGTATTTTCTAAGTAAAAAAATTCTAATCTATTGGAAAAAAAATAATTATTATTAAATAATTATAATTATTTATGTATAACGCGCCTTTTGAATTGTTAGAATCTATATAAAATTTTGACTATAAAAGGTGTAGACTAATGTAAATTCCTATGATATTATTGTAGCTGACAATTATCTTGTCTATACTTGACAAAATATGTGTCAAAAACGAAAATATAAATAATTCATATTTAAAACGTTCAGATTTTGAATGAGTTGCTTTGTCAATTTATTGTTGTGGTCTTGGCTTTTATGATTTTATGTGTGAATTTGACATTTGAAAAATAATGGTAGGCCTCGTAAATTTAATTCATGTGTGAATACTATAAATAATGTTATGTAACATCGTTAGTGCGAATGCAAGTGATAAGACATCTTAAATGTAAATTATTTTTCATACTTTTAAGTTGATTGATCAATTAATAACACTCGTGTGTCATACAGATTGATAATTAGTATCAGTAGTAATAAATAACATTACTCAAAAACTATTAGTAGCACGCGTTTTTTAATAGTAACTTCGAACTTGTAATGTTGATAGAAATAATAGAATATTTTTATTATTTCTTCTACCCACTCTCCAAGTTGTGGGATTAAATGAGGCAGGCGACTCCTAATATAGTTAGGTACAGGGACGGACCTAGAATTATAATTCAGTGGAGGTGAGATAGAAAATGAAATTGTGAAAGAAATAAAAATAAAATTGAAAATTTAAATTTAACAAGGTCCAATTGAAGATTTTTTAAAATTCAGTGGGGGGGGGGGTCGACCCCACTCGTCCTTTAGTGGGTCCGCCCCTGGTTAGGTATAAGTGATAATATATTGTCCCTTAATGAGTTGAGAAACGTTTTGGCAAAGTTAAAGACATTTTCTCGTGTTTATACTATAGAATGTGTTAGGAAAAAGAGTAGTAGATCCAAAATATTTTTTTTTGTAATCGTTTAGAAAATTAAATTACTTAAAAAAAGTTATTTTAATGAACCGAATAAGACGACAAAAAGATGCTTGTGAACTTGACTTCAAATTTAATTAGAAAATTGCTTTGATAGTTGCATATGTTGAACAATATAACGTTTATAAGGAGATGCAAATAGTAAGATGATCAATGTTCTTCGCATTACTCAAGACATTTCATAAAGCCAGACAAAACCAGTTTGATCGTTTATTTTTTTGGAAGATTATTTACTGCCTCCTCATGTGAACATTATTTATTCATTTATTTTTATTTTTTTGGCCTAAGAAATTGGGTCCTAATGTGAACTATGTTTTTCACATGGTTGTTCATTAATTTAAGAGTAATGCTATTCACAATCGTTCACTGCAGTAGTCGTCATATGTGACATTCTACATGGCGGTTTTATGATATGATATATTAATGTGGTAAATTTTTTTTAACTTATATATTAAATCACTAACTGTCACATGCATGCCACGTAGAGCGACTGCGAAGTGAGTGACTGCAAATAACAAATAGAAATGTCTCCTACGTTAACCATAATATGTGGAAGTATCGACGTAATCTCATAAAATCATTCGAATTTGAAATGAGGAAAAAGGATTTGAAGCCCAGATTATGAAGATTCTTATCTGATGAATATCAATGAAAATCACAATAATTCCACCAAATAATTGAAATTCTATTTCTTGATCAGTATCTTCAATATTCTTAATTTAATCAAGTGGGTAGAGTCTTCGTTAATATGTGACATTGGTTCCTATTATGTTTTTAACTGAACTTTTGATTTTGCCTCTACTTTGACTTTTATTTCTTTTAGAATGATCAACTTTCTCTAAACACATTTTCAATTAAACAAAGTATCTCCAGAAAATTATTTAAACATGTTCATAAGCATCATTTTAAATTTAGAAACAATTTTTGACTTTTCAAAAACTGTGAAGACCTCTGGTTGCTAAAGATATATAATTTGCAATTGTATAAGATTGATGACAAAATTTCGTCAATATTTTAATATGTTAGAGATTTCTTGACGTAGTTTGATAGAATAGAGACATAAAACAACACGCGTTTAAGATAGTGTCGGAGTTAACTAATGGATTGATCACTTATAATCTATCTACTAATTTGTTACATACAAATTAATTTTAGATTGGTGAAATAAAATAATAATAAAAGAGAAACTACTTAAAATAATTAATTATCACCCTAAAAATAACCATGATGGTAGTATAAAATATAATAATTAATTTAGATGATAAAATTTTCAAAATTTTAGTAATTATAGAGAAAATACTTTTTAATTGAACCTAAAGTCAACCACTTAATCATTATGAGTGTATCTACTCCACTTTGATCAATTTTTAGAATTGGTCAATAATTTAAATTATAATTGGATATAGCTCATCAAAAGTAGATAATTAATTATGCAGATTATCCCTTTTCTAGCCTAGTTGGAAGCCGAATTTGAGCTTGCAATGTGAAAAGGCTTTTCTTCTTAGATTCTATATTATGAGTTGCTTTGACCTGCAGTAGTTTTCTATTTAGTCATGGTTTGCTTTATATATATATTGTGATTAATAATAGGAAACAGTTATAGCTTCATGTGTAAAATTACTTTATTGAAATAATATGTGCTAAACATGAGTTTGAGAAAAAATAATTTGGAAAAAATTAAAATCAAACAAGGACTTGATATTTTTTTAATCTTTTACATAGAGTGAATCTCCGCAAAATTCGCTAAAAAGATAAAGGCGAGCTCACGATAAGATGATTTGATATGATTATAAATTATTGATCAAAAGATTATACTGTCAGTATTCGAAATATTATCTTGATAGCAAGTTTGGTCATTGAGGTTTAATTTTAAAATGAATAAATTGATTTCAAGATCTCATATAATTGTAATATTAGTCAAGGTCATGCTTGAATTTTACTCTTCCTTAAAGTAGATTTGGACTTTGTTATTCCTAATTTAATTGAACTTCAGTCTATATCTCTCTCAAGATTGTAGAACACTTTATCCTTGATTTATCAATTTTGTTAGGCTACCAATAAAATTAGAACACGTGAGCATAATTCAAAATTGAAACTCCAAATTGAAAACCAAGCTAACACTAAGTCACGTCAGCATATCGTCAAGCCACATAGACTGTCCCGTTAAAAATAGATAGACCAATTGGATGACTTAACTCTCAAAACATCGTTAAATTGTCACATAGTATCTCTATACATCTTACTCAAAGAACTCCAATTTGTTTTCCATCTTAGATTCACGCCAAGATATTTGAAGATACAAACATGTTTTCATGAAAGTAACACAATAATTTTAGAGAAGATTAAATGGCGTCATGCGATGGCATTGAAAGATTGGAGACCATAGAGGTCTATTGGTTTAATATCAACTTGCTACTAGAAAAATAAATTGGACATTAATAGTGCAATTTTTCTCTAAATTATTGATTGAAATGTAGTAGTAATCATAAGATGTTGCTATACATCAAAATGGCTCGTTTAATAGATTTTAAATTTGTAAAGAATAAAAATAACAAATTCGCATACATCGAATCTATGTTTTTTTTGCAATGTTTAACGAAGGTTTTAACGAAAATAATAATAATAATAATAATAATAATAATAATAATAATAATAATAATAATAATAATAATTAGAGCAATTGACATGGTCATCCTCTTTTTAATTTAGTTAAAAAATTAATAAAAATCTAAATGTAGTCAACAAGTATTTGTAACTAAATATTGCACATGATTCACAAATTTTTCAACCAAACATTTTATTTATTTTTATTAAAATCTATTTAAAATCAGATTTTTAATTGAATCGAAGAGAGCCTTGTTTTTCAAATGTATTTCTTTTTCAGGAAATACTAGTACATAATTTTAGGTACGTAGGGGTGTTCACCCTCTTACAAGGGTGGTGCCCGCTCGAATAAAATATTCGAGTGGACCCACGCCATGTAAAGGATGGATACCCTTATGTATGATAAATTATTTACAAGTATCTTTATCTTCTTTTCCATGTACCGTGTTTGTTCAACCATCAAGCTCATTCAAAGACTATTATGGTTGGAAACAGGAGAGTGATCGAAAGAGCCTATAAGAAAATGATGGGAAAAGAGGTCCTACACTGTTTTTTTTTCCTATTTTTTAAAATATATTTAGATCATGTTTGAGTCCCATTTTTAGGCTAAGAATGCATTTTGGAATAATAAATTGATACAAAATGTGTTGTTAAAAAATCAGGAAAAGTTTCAGGTTTATATATAATATAGTTTATTAAAAATTGTGAGGTTTGAGAAGAGAGAGAAATATGTATTTTGGAAATAATGGAAAGCTTAGGGGGTGTTCTCTTTGTGTTTGAGTTTTGTGTTTTGAGTGTTTGTTTTGAAATTGTTGAAAATGCGTTCTTTTTGTTAGTTTCTCAAAACAAAAAAAAAAATGAATTTTTTTTTTTTTTATTTTGAGAATCACCACAACACCACCTCAAAAAAAAAAACTTTATTTTTATTTTTTTTTAAAATTTTGAGAATCGCCACACCACCTCCTCAAAAAAAAAAGTAATAATAAAAAAAATAAAAAAATAGATGGTGTTTCCCGTGTTTTCAATTTTTTCAAATTTTACACTGAAAATGCCCAAAACGACAAAAAAGTCGTTTTGTGTTTTCTTCACAAATTTTTTTTTCGTTTTCGAAAACGGGAAAGAGAACACGTTTTCACCGTTTTGAAAAATCGAAAACAGAAAACGGCCCGAAAACATTAAAGAGAACAGGGCCTTAATCTTTGTTTGATTTTAAAAATCAGATTTTTAGTAGATTTTAATAAAAGTCAATGAAGTGCGTAGTTATAAAAAAATTGTAAGTTCATAAAATGTGTATTTAAATTATTTATTAACATTGAATTAAATTTTTATCAACTTTTTTGACTAAATCAAATAGTGACTTAAATTTTATGCTTTCAAGTGTGTGGTACATGAGCGAATCCTAGCTGATGACTTGATTATTAAAAGGTATCTAAACTGGTTTACTCACTTTCAATTTAAATTTTAAGAGCAAAGTCTTCCCGAACTAATGAGCTTAATTCGAGTCTCGACATTTTTGGCCTTTCACTTACTAGACCACATCTAGCACTAAGCCCCGTTCGAATCTTATTTCATTAAATTTTATTTTTCTCTTTCATATTTTTTACTACACAATCTTCCATGAAATAATATTACACGTAAATCGAAAAATTTTCTTCTTTTTCAACTACTCATTTTTCAAAAAAATACTATTTCACCCATTTTCATTTCCAGAACATGGGGGCCAAACGGGGCTAAAGCGATTATTGAAGAAGATATGCACCAACTTACCTTTCCAAGCTTGGAAATCCAAAATTTTGACCATAATTATGTCTCTTTTGATGGAAGTCCTATCTCTAATCAAAACTTCAAGACTTGGTCTATTATACTACTACTTTACACTGATTTAGCATCTTATCATGGCACGCTTGAATAATTGACATTGCTCTAGAAGAGAGAAATTTGTATATATTTATACTTGCATGTTTGTTTGGTTGGGATTTTTTAATTAATTTTTTTACCGTTAGAGATAAAGTGGGTCCTAACTATAAGAGAATAATTCAAAAATGACAGCTGAAATAATGAAATAACAGTCAAAAAATTAATATTAATTGAATTAAAATCTCTACCAAACATGATTAGACCAGGATTTGATATTATTTTTATTAAGGTATCAATTATTAGGATTATATTATTCTTGAATATTTGGCAATTTTAATCGTCTGACGTGATTTCTATTTTTTTTTTCCTTATGTTTTTTGTGGGAAAACTTTCTGAGAAAGCTACGGATACTAAAACAAATTGAGTTGAGCTAAAAATTGTTTGTTAATTGATGGCAATTAACCACCGTTCTCATTCTTTTTCTCTCTCTTATTTTTAACTACACAATTCCTTCTTTCCAAATTTTAATGATTAGAATAATATTTTTTTAAAAATGTGTGGTTGAAAAAAAATGAAAAGTTTTTAGTTTGTTTTTAATATTATTTTATGAAAGATTGTGTGGTTAAAAAAATAAGAGAGACAAAAAGAATAAGAAAGAGAATGGGAGCCAAACGGGGGAAATGTGCAAAATTATATGTAAAATGTAACAAGAACTGGTTAATAACTATAACTGATTATAACGAGTTTTTAGCATTTCTTTTGTATCCATTTAACATTACTTTGTGAAATTTGAATAAATAGTTTTTGAATAAAAAATTATTTGTAAATCTTAAGTAAAGATCTAAATTTACGATAAGGGCCGAGAAACCTTCAAGTAACGCTAGGTATTAAAAAATTAATTAATTAATGAATTAATGAATAATAATAATAATAATAATAAATAAAAATATACTATATATCCATAAAGAGAGATACGTGACCACATCTCCATTTCAAAGCACTCGCCCTTCACAAAAAAGGTCGTGTTAAAACTGAAAGTCTATATAGAAGTGCTACATATGTATTTCGATCCATCTAGTGCTACGAGTAAAAGATTATACCACAACATGTTTTCACAAAATGATTCGAGCCTCATGCTGAACCGTTCTCTTACGTGTTATTCACTTTGGTAGACCTTGAGTTATCTTACCCCTCACGACTTTCTATACGTTTGTCAAGATTCGAACCCAAAATTTATGTGCTATGAGAAACTTAAATTAAATCCTGGTACCAATTGATGGGCAAAAAGGCAAAGTCTAATAGTGCTTCGACACTACTTATATTTTACACAAGAAAAGTAAGTATTTTGCACAGAGTAAATCAATCTACAATGAGCAATTCACAGGATTGGAGGCCGTTGGTGGTATCACGAAAGGATCTAGATGCCTTGAGAGCGAACTATAAAAATAAATATTTTCACGATACTAAAAAAGAGAACAAGTGCATACATCAAAGAACATAAAATTGAGTTGTCCGATGAAGCAACCATGCCATTACAAATTTGTCATCGATCAACCATATAGCATCTAAGGTTTAAAACTCAGATAGGGCAGGCCTTCGATCTAGGCGTATAGGGACCGGATAACGAGTCACGAGTTTTTCTCATGCAAGAACCCTTTCTGTAGATGCAGCAACGCCTCCTTGCTTAATCGAAACATAGATTTGTAGTAAATATATGTAGCATTTAAAGCAGCGAAGACTGATGACCTTCAATAAGATCGACGAGTGTAATCTTCCCACAGTTGCCTGTGTCTAGACGGTCAAACTGTTGAGAAATTTGCAAGATGTCTTTCTCTGAAACCATGTCCATCTCCTTCAGCTTGTATATAACATATTCCGACTTGCTGCCGTACGGCCACACAAGAGAAAATAGTTATGGATAAAAATTCATGGATGACTTGATATATTAATATAAATTACTTTATAAACTCTTCGGCAACAAATATGTATTTTTAGTCTCAAAATGTAAAGTGAACGAGGAGATAAACACAAGTGATGATCTAAGTGTCTCACATATAAAATGTCAAGTATTTTTTCATGTGTTGACTGCATAAACATGAATGCTGGTCACAAAATCACTGAGCTAATATTAACATACTATGGATGTTCGGGATATATTTGACATCAAGAAAAAAAGGGAAAGAAAAGCTTTTACAAGAAGGAATATATGTAATAGCTGAAAAATGATATGATAAACGAGATACGATACTTTATTAGTAATTTTAGTTTTCTTAACGGTTAAACTTTAAGGTGTTGAATCCATCTATCAAGGGAGACAAATAAATAGTCTTGAGCGGAGCACTTATTGTGTCTGATACAAGGGCAATAACAAAATTCTGAAACTACATGCAGAAAAATACGACAAGCACCGGACAAGGGAAAAAAAATACTAATGGTTGAGCTATAGTACTCAAAAAACACAAAGAACTATGATGTTTTGAGCAAGGGCAATTTGATCAATATGACATCAAAAATCGGTGAGGTAATATATTTGTATGTACATGCATTTTCTAGGCTTAAAAATGCAGAAAATCTTTTCAACTTTGTGAAGAGTTATAATCCTTAAAAGTACAAGGACTAGAGAGAACGTGCAGGAATAATGTCAATGATGACAAATAAGAACTGTCATTGCTTAACAAAAATAAAATATATGTTAACAGCTTACACAATATGCAGTCATTATCTATTGCAACATCAATTATTAAAGTCGAATTGGCAGAGAGAAGGGATTGGAGAAGAAAATCAAGTTCCCAATATTCTCTTATTTAATTATACATTACTACACCATTTTAACCATGATCTCTAATTCTTTTCTCATTTCTCAGGGACTTCAACCACCCAAAACTGAATGTCTAGGACATTTAGGTCCATACTTAAGAAGTTATGTCTAGTAATGAGAAGTTAAAGGAACATACATTGCTCGCATAATGCTTTCCATGATGTTTTTGCCGTGCCACTGATATGAGAAATCATCATATTTTTACGACATTTATTTATCACAAAGGCTCGAAGAACTTACACCACAAGATATATCTGCAACTTGTACTTCTATATGGCCTCCGGAAATAAATCTTATGTGTGAAATCCATTTCATAGTTAAGTTTTACACTCAAGATTTTTTATTTTTAGCTTGTCTACAAGTAACTTATATAGACACTTTTGGAGGTTGGATACACCTACTTGCTGCTAAACTTTTGTGGTAAACTATCCAACTGGATTCTTGAAATTTAAATAGTACCAAATGCAATTTGAAGTACAAACTCCCAGGCTATAGCCTATGCCAAAAAGTAAAATTTTCTGTTGCAAAACTTAATCACAATCAGAACAGCAAAGGAAAAGTGCTTACCTCACAAAACCATTGTTATCAATGTCGGCAGCAAGAAATTGTGAGACGGTCATGCCCTGGCCAAGCACCCACTTAGCCATTTTCCTATGCCGCTTGTCAACTCTAAGCTCGGCCAAATAAAGAAATGCTCTAGCAACAGCCAGTGTTGAAACAAGCAACCAAATTGATGCAAAAATCCGACCAGCCAAAGACGTAAATGCCCTGTCGCCATATCCAACAGTAGTAACCGACATAACGGACAAATAGAATGAATCCAGCCAATTCAGCCTTTCAACAAAATGCATGACACTAACCCCTATTCCAATACACAGAACCACAACACCTAATGCCAACGCCACCTTCATTCGAATCCTCATCCTTCCCTTCTTCACATCAATTATATAAGACCTAGGATCATGCCCTCCTCCTCCTTTAATTGTCCTCAAAAGATAATTTTCTTGCAAATCCAGCATATAACTAACCATCCCAGTAAGCAAAATATCAATAAAACCAAACCCCACAAGCACAAACGTAATAGAAAACAACTTGGTTGCAGTACTATCAGGGGTTATATCCCCATATCCAATTGTACACATAGTCACAATACAAAAATACAAAGCATCAACTACAGGATGTGTCTCAGTAGCCCTAAAATTATCCCTATTAAAGGAGTATATAACCACACCAAGAGACAAGTAAACGATCAAAAGAAGAACACCTTGTCTTACAATTGATGAACTACCAGACTGGGGTTTCTCCGAATCATGTGAATGGTCAATTTCATTGATTGCAGCCATGGCAGGGGCAGTCTTGGACCTATGGAGATTACTCTTGGACATTGTATAATTGGGATCAATCAACCAAGACTGTTTATTTTCTTGATCAAGATTCGACACATGAGGTTCAGTATTAATTCTTTCATTATCGAGACTGGATTTCGAGGGCTTGGGAGAGTTGACGCTTAAGGTTAAGGCGTCAAGAAGGCTCGAAGAGGAAGAATCTATAAGAGGGGACGATGCATAAGTGGGCGACCCAAATATGAGCCTTTCTTTGAATTCTTTCGCAGATGGGGTGATGGGCAATGTTGGAATGGTAATTTCATTGTCTTCAGGCAAGGGGCAGAGTGAGACTGGTGGCGGCAGCGGCGGTTGTTGCGGTTGCGGTTGCGGTTGCGGCCATCTAGGGTTGACATGAAGGAGTAGAGGCTCTTTCTCCATGTGGGTTTCCAATTTAAAACAGGGATCTTTCGTGGCCGGAATATACCATAACACGTTGTTTTCCGGCCGTTTTCTGAACGGAGCGTTAGCTGATGGTTTCGTAACAATTGAAAGTGAATGAATATACCAAAATTCGTCCGTTGATTGATGCAATCAAGTAGAATCTTTAGGACGTGTTTGGAAACATAGAAAGAGGTACGAGGATATTAAATGCTAGCAAACCAAACGCGACCTTACCTTTAGTTTGAGAATTTCCAGAAGATTTTATTATCGAAAACAGCCATGATGTCATTTCTTTCAAGTCCCAAGATGACAAGTATTTATTAAAGTTTAAATCCATAGTAAAGTGTAATTTATTAAAGTTTAAATCCATAGTTTAAAGTGTAAATCAAAAATTTATTTTTTCAAAACTCATTTTCAATCACACATTTTTTAATAAAATAATATTACGCGCAAATTTAAATCTTTTCATTAACTTTTAACTATACATTTTTCGTCAATCGCTATTTAAAAATGTATTCTTTCACTTAAAATGGGGCTCAAGGGTTGAGTCTTCACCGCGATTAGTAATAATGATAAATTAAATTTAATAATAAAAGCAATTATGAATTGTCATAATTATTTGGCCTGCTTTTTAGAGAATTTTGGACATAAATTTCTATATTCAAATGAATTATTTGAGCTAAATTCAAAGAGGTGTGTCAAAAATCATAATTTTCTTTCGGAAAGTTATGCTACAATATAAACTTGAATAACTCCATTGATGGCTTCAATAAATTTCCGGACATTGGTTATTATTATTTGTAAAAGTCCCATTATGATAAGTATTTAGTTTTATTTTATATAACAAATTCTATGGGTGAGTTTAGTTTGCTATTTTAAAGATGTATTCAATTTTCAAAATAATGGAAATGAGTTTTGTCTAATATTTATGAAAATACATTTTCGAAAATAAGGTTAAACTTATAACATAAAATACAAAATACAAAAAATAATAATAATAAATTAAAAATTAAAGGAATATAAAAATTAAAAAAAAAACTTTCAACATCTCTAATTTTTATTTTTATTTCAGATATTTTGAACTCAATTTATTATTTATTTTTATTTTACTTTTTTTAGTGAGAGAAAATAGTGTAATATTCACCACCACGTATTATTATTTGATAACATATTAACATTAAATTATTCTATTTTTATTATTTAATCAATTTTTATAAAATAAAATGTAATAAAACAAATTTTCAAAAATTCAACCAAACCTTTTTTTCTAGTTTTTTGCTTTGAAAAGCAATTTTTTTTTTTTTTTTTAAAGTGACAAATGAAAGCAATCTCAAAATTGATCATCAAAATTGAAAACTCAAAATGAACTCTAAACTCAAAATTGGAACATAAACCAAATGTAACATAAATTTCCTACTTTCTTTCACCTTGTGATATGGATAAATGTCAACGGGTCAAACTGAGCAGGCACGGTCCATGAGCTCAAGAGCTCATATATTATTATTATTATTATTATTTTGAAATTTGGCCGTTTGGTCACATTTTTTTAACGAGTCCTCGAACCCAAGCGCTCAGTCTGCTCAAATTTTTATTTATTTATTTATTATTATTATTATGGATTCGACTTGCAATCGGGCTCGGGCTAGGGCTCATCCCTAAACAAGTCCGAGCAGTACATGAACAAAGCTCAGATGAGTCGAGCGGCACAAGTAGATGAGTCGTCAGCCTAATTGTCTCCCCTAATTGTACCTGTGAACCTGTTCGAAAATTCGTCATCGTCCATTCTAATAAATATTAATATAAGTTTAATAAGCAACGTTATTAAAAAAAAGTGTTAATTGTCCTTTCGTTTTCTTTAGAAATTATCAACTTTCTCATTTTCTTTCATCCTTTTTATTATTATTCAAAGTCATAAAAACAATGGAAATAAACTTGAGTAGATGCCATTGGTGAAATTATTAATGTAATGAATTAAAAACTTAATTCTGACGTTATAATAATGAAATAGACTGAATGATAGAAAATTGAACCAATTGTGCAATACATATATAAAAGCCAAAAGAAAACTAAAAATTAACGCGTCTATGCAATTGACAATCAAATGTACGGATCATGTGCTAAATCAGACTCACAGTTGTATTTTTTTAAAATAAAATGAAGCTTCTTTTTCTTTTTCCCTTTACATAAAATCATAGTGACTGATCAATAATATAGTAGTTTTTAACATTCTCGGTATCATTTTATTTTGGAAAAATCGTAGCAGCGGTTTCTAACCCATTTCGACTTTTGCAGACTTTACCCTAATTTTCGTTTTGTGCCAACAAAATTCCCTAACCTTTCATAAATTTGCACTTGAGGTCCATCTGGACGGAAACCGTCCAAACCGTCAATTGATCTAGAAAATTCCTTGAACTATCTGCTACTGTAACGACTTTATTAGATATTGATACTTTTTTAGACGGTATTTTGAAGAATTTTATTGGATATTGATTCCTTAATTTTTTCGATTAATTGACGGTGTTTTAGATGGTTTCCGTCCAGATGAACCGCTGGTGCATATGTATGAAAGGTCAAGAACCTTCGCTGGCATAAAATGAATGTTAGGGTGAACCTGTAAAAAATGAAAATGTTAGGGACCACTGCTGCAATTTTCCCTTTTATTTTTAGTTTCATTGTTTATAATATTTCCAACAAATAATTTATTTTTAATGTTATTTCATTCCGGACGTTATTTATTTATTTTTATTTTTTTATATCCAGGTATCTCAACTTACACTAAATTAAATTCTGGACCCCCAAGATCCTCGCCCCTAGAACCTTGTAGGGGATAAATCGCGAATTATGCCTCAACTGGATCACAGGTTCCCCCACCGCCTATACACTTCTGCGCACAAGAGATCCTCCTTCAAAATGATTGCTCCATACCAAATAAATCTGGCAGCAGGTTCCCACCAAGATTCGAACATCCACCCTGTCGCTGGAAGTAAGAAAAATGTTGATTTGCTCCATACCAAATAAATCTGGACGTTATTTTTCTTTGTTAGTATTAAATTGTTTACTATTACTTAGAGGATATTTTTCCGATGAATAAATTATTATTTTTTTTTTATTGCTAAGTTCTTTCCCAGATTGATAGTTAGTTTTTAGCAAGTGTAAATAAAATTGAGTACAGTAATAACAGTTTGTTTAGTTTGCTATGATGATATGCTTTAATAGGCAATTATTTAACGACTCTGGTCACATGCCCATTTATATCTTCTTTAGAAATTGTCAACTTTCTAAACTACACAACTTTAACTTAACATTATAATATTGAAACAACAATTCTCCTCATACGGGGAAATTGTTTGTATGGTTTTTTTTTTTCACCAAATTGTCCAATGAAATCACGTGTCACGTGTCTTCTATAAATGTTTTTGTAAGCATTGTTCATATTGAAGTGGTCCCTACCAATTTGACAAAAATATTGAATTATTTGTGTTACATATTTTAAGAGCTTGTTTGATATAGCGTAAAAGTCAATTAAAATTAATTTTTTTATTATTATTTCATTATTTCAGTCGTCATTTTTTAATTCTTTTCTCACAATTAGGACACATTTTATTTTTAACGGTCAAAAAAATCAATTACCAAAATCTTTACTAAACAAGCACTAAAACTTAAAACCGGAATAAAACTCAACTACTAAGTCAACTCAATTGACAACTAAATGAATCAATCATGAGTTACTTAAACCTCACCATTTCATTTTATAAGACAAAATAAATTTTCGAACATGCTACATGTACAACTTGAGTTGACAACCACATGCATAAAAGGAAGGTCACAATGAATAAAAAAAATCGCGGACTCCCTCCTGTGAGGAGGTTGTCAACTTCGATTGTGTTGAGAATTAGCTTATCATGCACAGCGAAATTAAAAACAACTTTCAATTCCCACCAGAAATCATTTTTTTGTATTTATATAGGAATTGTGACAAGAGTTGCACCTTTTTTGAGATCTGCAAACCCCTTTCCTTTTTCGTTGTTCCAGCAATATTGATCTGCCACTCACAACTGTCCAATTGTCTAGCTTCCAATGAAATTTACACAGAGAACAGATTATAGCCACCAGGGTTTCTCCTCTTGTGCTAGCAAGAATTATGAGAATCACTACAAATTAAAAATTCTAGTCATGTATTTATATAAGTCCAAACGGGTTTAGCCTGACCCCTGGTCCAATATTTAATTAATCAATTTAATTAAATCCGGTTCGTGAATTAGAGCTTGTTTGGTAGAGCTTTTAAGGTAATTAAAATTAATTTTTTTACCGTTATTTCACTATTTCATTCGTCATTTTTGAATTATTCTCTTACGTATAGGATCCAATTTATCTTTAACGGTAAAAAAATCAATTATCAAAATCCGACGCTTGTTAAATTAATTAATTGACAAATTACAATCTTTCAATTATCTTTTTGTGTGCGACCCGTCAGGTTCTCAATCATGATGCCTAACGACGTAAAATATTATTTTGATCTAATCAAAATTAATAAATTAAAACACCATTTTAATTTATCACCAATTCACACTAGTTGTCCCAGATTGACATCTAGCAATGTGTCGGAAAAATACACGTGACGGGAAACATCACGTGGTATGACAAAACCAAACTCGTTTACCGTGAAACTATAATCCTTTCGTCAATATGATCCGATCAATTACGAGATATGGAAATGTGTCAATCTCGATCATCAATCATATCTTTCATTTCGCTATTAAGTCTATATAACTCCTTTTCGAAATCTGAGTATACACTGGCCAATGATTCGTTATCGACTTTATTGAATGAAATAAAGATTATAATATCTTACTATTTAAGAGTGACGAATTCTCTTTTGATCATTCACAACATTTATATGATTATTAACATACCCGAACGATGGCGTATTAACCGTCATTGACAGAGCAACATCCAATACCGTCAAAACATAACTGTCCTCATACAAGGCACTATGACGACCTCAAATCAAAAGACCAATTCCATTACTGAGCGTTAGAGATTAACTACTGACACTCAGATAGTTATCCATGTGGAATCTCTCAACGAGTCTCCCAATGTTTTGTTCTATAGCAAAACATCTACGCGTTCATTTAAGTGTCACCACACTTTAGCTAGTGAGATCAATTACTT